ACACACACACACACACACACACACACACACACACACACGCAGGTATGCATCCCTTCCCCAGTGGAATCTAAGCTCCTGGAGGTCAGGGGACCTGTACTATACTTGCATGTATTCCTTGGCCCCCCCATCTAGCCTTGGCCCCAAGTAGGTACTTGAATTGTTTGCTTGATGATTGGCTCCTCCATTCATTGATAAAGGGTGGTGGTGGTCTGAGATGTCCAGCACCTAGGAGTATTGTAGACTGGACCAGGAGTAGAAATAGAATTTAAAAATACACCTGACAGCTTTGCAATTCTTGAGTTGTAGTTCTGAACTTTTCTAGCTATGAGGACAGGTTTGCACAAGAAAAGACACTGATGTAAAAGTACCAGGAAGCATAATAAAATCCCTTTTCACAAGGCAATATAAAATCCAAAGTATACAGGATAAGTCAAAATGTAGTGCTACTACAGTTTCAGTTCATACATGTGGGAGTTTATTCTGAAGAAAGTGTGCTTAAACAGGTCTCGGTAATCCGCTGATGGCTTTAGACAAGTGTGCCCAATTATACATTTGTCTGAATCTCATTAGGATGCCTTCCCCCTGCCCCCCAAAATGTCCAATTCAAACAGTGGCTTTCAAGGGGATTTACTTAGCCCCGTTAAATTCCAGGCAGAGAGGCCAGCTCTAAAGGTTTGGGATCCCAAAGGGATGATCTTCATAGATTTTTTCAAAAGACAACAGTTAAATCACAGGTGCTTATTATGAAGCGGTTTTAAGAAAACGGGAATCTGCATGTATGAAGGAAAGTTCAGGAAAGTTGTACGTGTGAATTCCCTGCCCCATCATGACCATACACTTGCTTATTCCGGGGAGCCAGGACTGGCGGGAAACCTTACCCAAGCACCCTCCAGCCCTAATATTGCCCCTTCAGACTTTCTTTTGTTCCCCAAACTCAAAGGCTATTTAAAAGGAACACAGTTTGGGTCCTTCCAGCGACTGCTGTTTCTTGGTGTAAATGGAAGAGTGCAGCATTCTTCAGGAAAGTGTTAGAGAGATGGAAACACGGCTCTTTGAAGGGTATGGACCTCGATGGAGGACATGTTGAGAAACGCTAGCTTCCTGTTTTGTTTTAATATTGGTTTCTATGATTTTATAGCCATTCTTCTTGCCCTGCCCTCCCACTATGGTTTTAAGGAGCACTGGTGGCAACGTGGTTACGAGTTGGGCTGCTGACTGCAAAGTCAGCAGTTCAAAGCTACCACCTGCTCCCAGGGAGAAAGATGGGTCTCTCTACTCCCTTACAGTCTCAGAGACTCAGGGCAGTTCTACTCTGTCCTATAGAGTTGCTCTGAGTTGGTACGGCCTGGCTGACAGGGGGTATTTTTTGTTTTGGGTGGTGCAGTCGTGGTGGTGGTAGAAGAAAGAGAAAAGACAAGGCAGCCTGCCTTTGGAAAGGATTATTGCTTTAGAAATCCTATGGAGCATATATCTACTATGTCCTATAGAGAGCCCATGAGTTAGAATCAACTCAATGGTGAGCGTGGTAATTTGTTTTCTCCACCATGACAGTTATTGCCCTATCCTTGCCCTCTCTCTTGCTACCCCTATTTTTGCCCATTCAGCTTCATGACCTGCAGAAACCAATGCTTTGCTTTCAGGACTCTGGATCTGCTTTCCTGGCCTGATATTACTACTTAAGGGTTTTTTAAGTTGAAGAATATCCCCCTTTGTATTGAGTAGCGATACTGCAAGTACATATGCAGCTTAATAAAACCTGATAAGTACATATTTGAATTTTAAAAACACAGGTGGTAGGTTATTTGCATGTTAAAAGGATTTTTTCTTTTACACCAGGATTCACTGTAGGGTTCCATTACATATCCAATTCCTCTTGGCGCATTTATCATACAATTTAATTTACTCAAATGTGATTGATTTGCCACTCTACGGGGCGAGCGCTAGAGTCCCGGAGAGCATGCCAATCACTTGGGCAACTCCTTTAACATGCAGATCTTGCCCCAGCTCCTCCCCAACAGTCAGACACATGAGTCCAGGGTTGGGGCCCAGGGTCTTCCTCTTTAATAATGTCCCCAGGTGGTGGATGTCAGTGGTCAATGACATGCATTTTGGGAAACACTGCTTTACAGAAACACCCATGACATGTAAAGCATGGCCCCACTGTCTTGTTTTCTCTCGGACTTTGAAGATTCTATTCATTCGATACATTTTTGAGGTAGCCCTCTGGGGCACATGGAGTCAGTCCATGGGTGAGGGAAATGGTCATAAAGCCAAAAGGCCGAGGTTCAAGTGCACCCAGAGGTGTCTCCCAAGAAAGTCCTGGCTGTCTTCTTTGGCAAGTAAGCGATGGAAAATCCCATGGCTGTCACACGTGAGTCTGAACTGACTGCAGGGCAACTGGTATTTTCTCCTCCTTCTTCCCTCCATGGTGGCCCCAAATGCTTGTCCTTGGATGTTTCACCCTCCATTGGGTCTTCCTCTTTTTTTGCTGGCCCTCTCCTTTACCAAGCATGACGGTCATCTCCATGGCCCTGCCTCTCTTGACGGCATGTCCAAAGTACCCGGGATGAAGCCATACCATCCTCACTCTCAGGAGCGCTCCGTCTGTACTTTTTCCAAGACTGCTATGTTCTTGGCAGAGAAGTCTCTTCTGGTGGCCCATGGTACATTCGATGTTCTTCCCCGACCCCATCACTCAAGAGCACCCATTCTTCTCTGCTCCTCCTGATTCACGGCCCAGCTTTTGCATCCAGATGAGGCGATGGGAAAAATACCATGGCTTGGGTCAGGTGCACCTTAGAAATAGTTATTTCTGTGGCCGTGTCTTGGCAAATCTAGGGCTTTTTGTCTTCATTCCCTACTACCTCCTCTTCCTTAAAAAAACCAGCAGTAAAAATTATTTTTCTTTTAAAACAAAACAAATCATAAGAATGACTTGCCTTGGTCTGATTCCATTTATCTCTGAGTATTAATCCTCGCCCTCGAGAAATGAATGCCAGAAATGTGCATTTAAAAGAGGGCTAGAGTTTCATGAAATTTGTTTTAAAAAATAGACTCCATGACATTTATGGCATGTGTATCTATGTATTTAATATGTCATTGATCTTTTAAAAGTCATTTGCTTGGCCTATTTTTTTTCCTCCCCTTCAATTGCTTTCTTAAATCTCTAGTAATCTCCGGAAACATTTGGAGACATTTCCATTCTTTACCAATTTCTCTCCTTGTACTAATCCTCTGTGTCCCTGAATTTCACTGCTAGTGAAGAATCTCTGGGGCGGGGGTGGGGAGTGGGGTTGGAGAGTTGGGGTGGGGAGAGGGGGTGGAGTGCAGGACTCTGGATTTTGTGAAATGTATCCAGTTACCATAAAAACAATAGAAGTTCAAATAATTCGTGCAGCTGGTGACTGGTTAGAAATCTTTCCTCTCAATAGATCTATCCAGCTTTGTGCTTTCCTTGAGTCAATGAGCTTGCAATACACCTGCCTGACTTCCCTGAGCCCACAGCCAGAGGTTGGGTTATTTGCTCGTTGGGACCTTGCTTACATTCTTCTCACAACTCAGCCTCTGGGACCCAGTCCCTGCGGGCTGGACCTCCCTGCTGAAGCATGAAGAGCTTATTGGGGAAAGACGGTGAAATCACAGTGAAGGAAGGGTGTTGTGTCACTGGACCCAGACAAGGCTGGGGAGGAGAGCCGTTAGAAGTTGTCCAAGAAACTCTTACCCGCAGACCGGATTTGGCACGTGTACCACAATGTCATACTTGTGGGAAAGAGGGAATCGTCTCCCTCACTATTTGTGGGGAGAAAAAACAACCAAACCAGGACACTTTGTATGGGGCCAGGAAAGGGGTCTGCCTGCACTCTCGAGTGGTGGTGGGATGGGGAGGGATGAGATTGCTCCACGTTGCTCTCGGGAGGGTCCGTGTGTTACTACCATGACCTTGTCTGACTTTGCGAAGTAACTTGAAAGAAAGAAACCTACTGTGCCTGGCATCTGGATTGTCCTTCCGGATGAATCCAAATTGTCATAAATACACCGATCACAAAACCTACCTATGCGGTAACGCAGTCCTAGCCGGAAGTTCTTGTGAGCCTAGGTAGTTTAGCCAAGAGCGGGCGGGAGCGGGCTCCTCCTGGCCTGCAGCAGGAAGGCTGGTGTCTCAGTGCATGTGGCAGGCTCCTGAGTGTGTGTGTCCCTGCAGCTCCTCCTCCCCATCACACCTGGGGGCAGAAAGGTAACAGAAGGTTGTGTTGCATTTGGGGCTTTAACTTGATCTTCTTTCTTTTCCCCTTCCCCTTTCCTTCACCCCCCCTGTTTCCTGTCCTCTAGGCCTCTCTCACCTCATGATGAGCGAACAAGGTAGGTGCTTGGCGCTCCTGGTCCAGCAGCTGCCTGAAGGAATTGCTTGCCTCGGTGTCTCTGGCTGATTCTCAGATCCTCATAGTGGCTGGCAGGCCACACGCTGGCTGGCCCTCCTGCCTGCTGTGGGCCCAGCTGGCCACAGGATTGCCTTGCAGTGGGATGGGGGCACCTTTCATCATGTATCCTGGTCCCTGCGGCCTTCATCCCCTTGGCTTCCCCATTCTCCACCACCTTTTGTCATCCGGGGGCTGGCCCCGCCCCGCTGCCTCTGAAAGGGAAGCATGAAACAGGGCATGACTGCGTTGATAATGGGGGTGAATGAAGCCAATTTCTGAGCACCGGAGCGGCTAACCTCCTCCTGCTCCTCCCCACCAGCCCTGGGGTGGTCTTGAGGGCAGGGCTTCTCCCTGGATCCCAATCTGAGGACAGGGTTGCTTGTTGTCTTCCCTCCACCCACTCCCCATTGTAATGGCTTTCTGGCCACACATGGTCCAAGGAAAAACCCTTGGGGTTTGACTGTTACCCGTTTTATAGAAAAGCAAAACCCATGGAAAAAACACGCTAATGGTGTGGCCGGATTCTAACTCATTATACACCCATAAGAAAACTGCATCTATAAAGATCTGTAAATTCAGCATCTGCAACCTAAAATATTCAAATATGCAGGAGTGAGCCGTGCAGGAAATTCAGCTCAGCTAAGCACAGGGTGGGCTGTGAAGGAAGCTTCTTTTTTTTTTTTCATTCCCCTAAATAAAAATTTTCCACATTATCAGCCTGAATCAGGATTCAGGAACTGCACCTACTGGAAACGGCCTCTTCCTTCACTGTTCAGTTGCTCCCATTGTGTTTCTCCTGAGTCTTGGGGTGATTGCAAGATTACTCCACCTGCTTTGCCCTGTCACCCAAAGATTGTACTTTAATTTTTCTTGTCTGTCTCTTTTCAAATACACATGAGATTTGGTGCCGCTCAGGGAGCGGAGCTAAGGAGACCAGAAGGAGGGCTACTTTCATTTCCCCCCATTGTTCATAAGGTGGACTGCGCCTGTGGGTACCAACAAGCTACCTCATTGAAGGACTGGCCTATCTTCCTCCTCTACTCACTCACGTGGGGCCCATCACACAGGAGCACGTGATCTGACCTAGAACCACCCAGGCCAACAGAAAATTGTTGATGGTGGCCAGAGAGGGTGGCCATCGTGGGCATCCTAAATTAAACAAGGAGGCAGGGAGAGGCACAGGGGCCATGAGAGATATCCCCCCCACAGACCCAAGCCAAGATTCACAACACTCTGGATGCTTCATTGAGAGATGATCCAGGGAAGAGCAGACCTAGAGGAAGGACCCGGCTGAGTTCTTCAGTGTTAGCTGGGCCTGGGAGAGGTCTGGGTCTCTCTGTTTATACAGAAGCATGAGAAAAGCAAGTGCCTACGGCAGAGAACCCTGAAGTGGGTCCAAATAGGGCATGCGTGGTGTCGACCTCAGGTCTGAGTGCTTGGGCGACTCAGTTACATCTCCAGGAAATGGGAAGAGCCGAACTCTAGGAGTGTTGGCCTTATGACGGCCCCCCTGTGAGGACAAATGGGCCCAGCATCCAGGTACAGGGCCCTTGAGAATATCCCCTAGCTGATGCTCCCAGAGGCCCCCCGAGGACTTCTCCCAGATGTCCAGAAGCTGATAGGACTGAGTCCCTTATGGCATACAGTTGCAGTAGAGGGGCTAGGCAGGCAGGGATAGTTTTAATCTGGATTCGGTTTATGATAGGCCCACGATTGCAATCCAGGATTTTTGGAAAGCTGAATGGAAACATTGATACGAAAACCACCAGGAGGACCCATACTGTACACCTGGTTCATGCTCCCAAACCCCCACGCGGGACTTCTCTGGGGCACCCGACACAAAGATGCCCGAGTGTAGAATCTCCAGACACGCAGGTACAGGGAACCTGGAGGGACACGTGACTCTCTTCTAGAAAAAGAGTCTCGTAGACAGTGGGGTCAAGGAGAGCCCAGGTGCCCTGGATTCCTCTGGAGTTCTCAGGAAAGGAAGTGGGGTCCACCTGGGTGTTCAGTGCCACTGGACTTTTAAGTCATGACTCGCAGTTTCATCTGGCCTGTTGTCAGGATGATCCTCGGGCCCTATCCCTCCTCCTCCCATTCTGAGACTATCTCCCCAACTCTCGATCCATTCTTGCCCCATCCACTGATCACCTCAAAGCCCAGTGCTCCCCTGCCTCCTTCCTGTCTCCTTAGTCTTTTAACATGCAAGAAAAAGACCTTGCTGTCTGGTCTCCAGCGGAAATCCAGGATTTGTTCTTGATGCCCATAAGTATGTGCGCAGATATTTATGTATGTTTTACATGTTCCACCTGTCTGTGTATGCCACACACTGCTTCCCCCTGACCCATCGGAATGTTGGGGGAAATGCAAGAGGGCGAAGGTCTCTGAGACTTTCCCCTTGCTGCTCGGCCCAGCTTTAGCTGGGTTCCGGGAGGGTGGTGACCGATACCTGTAGCTATTCGGGGCTTTTGCATGGCAAGTTTGTCGTGTTTGTTTGTCTGTCTGTTTGAAGGAAAAGACTGAGAAGAAACAAAAGCTTAACCACGAAGCAATGCACGCAGCCTTGCTGGTCACACTGTTCCCTGCTCGTTGTTGAAGCGCCACGTGTGTGCACTGGTTCTGCGCTTTCTTCTCAGGGTGCTGCCGTGCTAGCGCTGCGGCTTCTGGATGCGTGCTCAGCCCATGTTATTGGTGTGTCTGCAGTGTGGTGACGTGTTCCTCTCCCCGCTCTCTCTCTCTCTCTCTCTCTCTGTCTCTCTCGTTGCCTCCCCGGTGGACATCACATTACCTCTCCTAATGGGACCTTCCGCTTCATTTCTGTAGGTAGAAGTAAAGGTAGAGATCACGTTTCTTCTTTTCCTTTTGATCATGAATGACTCTCAGTCTGCCTTCTGAAATATTCATGTATCTGGGGGGAATGGTCGATTTTGATGAATACACTCCAGATTACAACTTGATGCTTTCAAAGCAAAACACAAACAAACAACCAAAGAACCAATGACTGAAATAAACAAATAATTAAAGGGTCAAGGCTCTCCTGTCATGTCCCTGCAGAGCGTTTCCTGTTCAGTGGCTGGGCAAAGGGTTCCCCCATTGGCCTGCTTCCCACAAATCACAGTGAGCCTTCTCTGTGAGGTGGCCCTGTTTCGAGAAGGACTCGGGGGTTGGGGGGAGGGCTCGGAGGGTGGTTCTGTGGAGAAGCTGGGCTCCCCTCCAGAGCAGTCCCAAGAAATGTATTCTGGAAATGGGGGGCTGTGACACGATGGATGAACCATTTGGTTCCGTTGCATGGGGATGACTAAATGGGGGAGTAAGCGGAGGGAAGGATCACAGTGGGATAAGGGGAGGGGGCTGGTGAATTATTGGATATTTGAATTCGTGTGGTTATGTGGGACTCTTTCTTCCTCTGTGTTGTGTTGGCTGTGTTTGTGGGAGGGGGTATGTTCTGCTTGAGGGTGATGGTGAAGAAGGGTCGTTCTTGGGGTGTGGACGAACAGGAAGGAGAATGCATTTGTACTGTAAGATGAGGAGAAGGGGGGAACCTGGGATGTCATAAAGTCAGTCTTTTGCCAGCCAGGCAGGAAGAAGGTGAGATGCTGAGCGGTGGTGGGTGTGCTTCGAGGCTCTGACTTGCCTGCCAGCGCTTCACACCTGTGGGTAGCAGAACTCACTCATCCATTGCTAATCAAAGCTGTCAGAGCCCCGAGCCCAAAGAACCCGGCTTGCCAGCTCAAATTGGGTTGGCTGTTTGGGAGTGAAGGGAGAGGTTAATTGATAAATTTCAACTATGTATCTGCACCCAGTCCACCCCATCCTCCCTATCTCTCCAGCCCTTGTCTTGGCAAAGCTGCATGCCATTTCCTTTGAAGGCAGGCAAGTCATGGTTCTGGGGAATGTGGGTTTTGGCAGAAGGGGTCTGGAGACCGAAGGGGCTGGCAAGTTACTGAAGAGACTGTTGGATGACAAGACAGACAACGGACCATCTCTCTCTTGAGTCTTGTGCTTTTCTGGATTTATTTGGAAAAGTTATGTATGGTTGCCTTGGGAGCCGTGCAAGCGTTCCCCTTGGGGTTTGGTTGATGACCTGTTCCTTTTATGCAAATCACATATGAGTTCATTCTCAGAAGTCTGTCCTACGTAGCCCTCACCCATGTGCTAGACTGGAACCTGCTGAAAGGTGAGGAGGAAGGGGGAAGAGGATTTATTGACGACCAGTATCCCCTGGCTGCCACCTCCTCCTCTCTACCTATCTGACTCTCCTGGGGACTGTGGGCTCTTGCTCCTCCTCTGCAAGCCCACCAATCTATGCCCAAGACTCAGCCTTGCTGAAGGAGGTGTCCTGGTTGCCTGCCCCCCTCACATTGGATTCTAAGAAAATACATGACAGTCATTGTTTTATCTGTCTGTCTGTCTCACTCAATCTGTCCCTCTCCCTTTCCTTCTCTGGTCCCAGAAAACATCCCACAAAATAGATGCTGTTAGTGCTTTGGGGGAGTTGTTATGAGGTTCTCATGTTCTTCCTTTGCCTGCCGTAGTAGTCCAGAATTGGTACTGAGGGGTCCCCTGAGGCAACCATTGTGCTATGCACACAACTGAAGGGCCTTATTTAATGCTCCCAACCATTCTGGGGTGGTGGTGTCCTTGCTTGGTGGCTAAAGGTGCTAAGACTCATAAAGTGAAATAAGGTAAGTCAGATGGCAGCTCTGTGGGGATCAAACTCAGATTCTAATCCCTGCCTGATTGTGGCTCATACTGCCTCTCTCAACTGTAGGATCACCTGCACGTGGTCAACTCCCAGTGGCCACCCTGGCCTTGGCCTGTCTCAGACTCCAGCCTGTCACCTTGTATTGTCTGTAGCACATGGTACTGTACTGACCTACTGGTACTGTCACCTCAGTATGTCCAGTGCCAGCCTTGATGCCAACTTCCACAAATGGCAGCCCATTAGGACTTGCGTATTTTTATTCATGGTTCCGCCATCTTCCTAAACATCTGGGCTTGAAACCCAGGAATCGCTTTCTGGCCATCTGCCTCCTCACCGTTTCCTATGCATCGGCGACCGATTGAGAGGTTCTTGTTGAGTTTCTCCAGAATGTCCCTTGCACCTGTCTTCCCCATCAACATGCTCATCCCATTCCTGCCCCAGCCTGATGAGCCTCCCTGCCTGCATCTGCTTCCTGCCTGAGCAGGGCCCTCGGACTGCTTAACTCCAAGGGAGCGCAGAATCCACCACCTCACTTCCAAAGGACCCTCCTGGCTTAGCTGCTTACCTTTTGCCGTCTCCCCTGTTACTCTCTGGTGCCAACTTGTTGCCCCAGCACACAGGATGCCAGTCGGTCGGAGTTGACTTTTCCTTTTCTCCTGGGCTTTTCTGTGTTCCTCTCCAGGCACAGCCCCCATTCCGTTTGCTTGCCCATTGAAGCATGCCTAGATTTCCAAACATCTCCCCCTCCCTTCTGCTGCCACCTTTAAATGATCCAATCAGACATGGCCGTTCTCTCCTGTGTCTTTCGAATGCCTCACATTCAAGTTGGCTGGGACTGGGGCCAGCCTCCTCTACTAGATTGCGAGCCTGTTGAAGACAAGCATCTTCACTCGTGAATGTCCTGCGGTGCCCGAGGTAGGATTCGATGTGCAGTCGGGACTCAGACACTCTGTCTTGTATCCGATGTCATCCATCTTCCAGAAGTGGAAACAAAACAACGTTAACGTGGAATCTGAGCACATAGATCATCTAGTCAAAACTTCAGATGGATTCTCAGTATTTAATTGTCCAGGTACCTTCCCAGTTTTAGTTTCTGCTACACAACGAACCCCGCCCCTACCCAACCCCGCCCTGGCAGCCCTCCTATGCACTGTACTCAGCGGCTTGGTCTGTGTGCATCGTGAGCTTCCCTGCCTTCAGGCCTTTACTCTGTTTCTTAAACATCCTTATGTGCTTAAACATCTTCTCCCCCACTCCATCCTTTAAGATCTAAGCTTCCTGGGTCGCACTAGTCTTTGTGCTTCACTTGTCAGGTACCCATGGTGCTTCCTTCAACCAGATTTATGCGTGTGTTTCTGTCCCCGACCTCCTTAAGAACAAGGACTGCATCTTGATCATCTCTGTCGCGCACATTGCATTTCGTTTTGTCCAGAGTTGTGCTTGGTGAATGATCACATAATGGAGTAATTGCATTTTTTACTTGAGCAAAAATGGTTTTAGATCTATGTGGGGGTGACAGGATTAGTATTTTCAACACTGATATAGTTAATGGAATCACTCTATTTCCCAGCCTATGTCTCTGATCTCTACCCTCCTTCACCCAACCAACAGAGCCACAGAGCGCCACACAGTCACGGAGAGAGACCACATGTCTGGCTCTGGTTCTCTTTAGCCAGATCTCGTCTCGGCTTGGTATGTGTGAGTCACAGAGGGAGAAGGGCAGAAGGGTCTTTGGATTTACTCTCTGCAGCTTATTAGAGAAAAAAATTCCACAGCCTTCAGATATTGTCATTTTAAAAAAGCAGCGTTGGAAGAAGTGTGGAGTTTAACTCACAAAAGTGAGCAGGATGTTTCGGGTGGGCGCCATCAAAACTCTACCCAGGAGGCTTTGGGGTGGCACTGGGGCAAAAGCAAGGGCGACCTAAAATAAGCTAACCGGAGTTTTCCAGCAAGCCCCCTTGGCCATCTGTTTTGATTTGGCTCCTTTCCATCTTCTCTTCCCTCTTCCTCTGTTTGTTGGCATTTGAGGCTTGCCCATGCTGGACTAAGTTATCAGATACTTTTCCTTGACTCAGAACTGGTAGCCAGCGTTGCGCACACGCAGATGCCTACAGGGAACGGAAGGATATCACAAAGAGAAGGCCTAGCAGTAAGAAAAACTTTCGTGTAAGAGAAACGATAGGGAGTAGTGGGGACTGTGGCAAACGGGAGAGCAAGTCCCGTTGAAGACTCTGCTCTAGTTGATTGCAGTTGTGCAGGGAAGATGGCACACTCAAGAGGAGTCGCAGCTGTCCAGCTACTGCCCACATCCAATTCACAAATGTTACTGAAAAGGAAGAATACACTGGAAACAGCAGCGAAACCGTCAGCTCATGCCATCTCTCTCCCTAATGTTAGCGCTCTCTCTCCTTTGTATATATGTATGATTCTATGTATGTACAGATTCTCAAACTACACATACATATCCACACTGACCAAATGGTTTGGTCCACGGGCCCCACGTTCTGAGTTTGGGCTAGAATATTTGTCTGTGAGTGCTTGCTGGATGTGACTAGGGAGTCCTTGGCAGTGTGCTGGATTACTTTTCTTTTTGCTCATAGCAGCAATCAAAAACTCTCAAAGGACACACTGCCATGCCGGCTCATGGTGATCCCAGAGAGCAGGGTAGGATGGTCCTTGTAAGCTTCTCACACTTTAACTCTTCATGGAAGTAGACATCAGGAATTCCTCTCACGCCTGATAGTACGGTCCAGGGAACCCGCTCCATGTATTGGGTGAAGTTGTCTTGTGGAGTGGTGTAGGCATGTGCAGATGAGTAACATTGAGAATGATCAGAAAGAGAAGTCACAGACACCTGCCATTAGTGCCAAGAACTGCCGTGGTTGTTACAGTTGAAAAGGTGGTGTTTCTTTTTGCTCTAGAGAATTTCTTATCTACTGGTCTGGATTGTATTAACCCTAAAAATCTACTTCAATCTTTCAAAATTTGGAGGTCCTTTCAAGGATGGATGTATTTCCAAAATAGAGTTGGCAATGGACCTTCAAGTGCTGAACCAGTCACCATTGGTCAAACTGAAAGAGACAATCAAGCCACATGAACTTGACCATGATGTCATTATAGGCAGTATTTC